TAATAATAATAACAACAACAACAACAACAACAACAACAACAACAACAACAACAACAACCACTCTATCTACCCGAGAGTAACATCACCAAAACATAGAGTAAACAGCAAGACATAAAATAACAAAACAACATAAGCATAAAATTATCACAATAACACATATATATTAAAAAATAATCCTGCCTGTTCAGAGCAATTAAAAGGCCGAGCCGAGGCTAGTGCAATCTCAAAATATGAGGGTACCAGGTACAGTGCTATAACAGGCTAATGGCAATAGCAGGTACAGGTCTGTGGCTGCTCATTTCTGGGGAGTATTAGAGGGATGACCAGGGTAATAGGTAGGAAGTATAAGGCCGATAGCTCTGTGAAGTTTCTTTGTGGTCTCACAATACATTCCAAATCTATTTAGTCACATGCTGTCTTGACATTACGTCCTCCCCATAAACTGAAATGATTTTGCAATGAATCGCAGCAGTGTTCATGCCCTTAGCATTTAGGTAGCATATTATAGTGTGAACTTCACACTTGGAGGCAAACGAAATGAGGATACTCATCTCTAATTTTCACCACAGTGCCAGTCAATGGGCTACTGACGACTGGCACTGCTCGTTCGCTTCTGCTGGCTTCCCGCTACACAGCAGTGATACCAACTTCCCCTGGGAAAATTCCCCATGAAAGCTTCTGCCTTTTAACTTCTGGATAACCCTCGTAGTTATCTTCCAAGTGTATTTTGAGCTATCAAAATGAACCTCCCCCCCCCCCCTATAATAGCCTTTCATTTTTAAATTTTTTGTTTTTGTTCCTGAGCCCCTACATATGTAGTGCTTTGAACTACATAAAGGCAAACTACAGCTCAACATTGTGTTCAAAAGAAACATTTTGTTTGTTCTCAAAAGTAAGCTGCCAGGTTATAGCACTGGTCTATAACAAATCCCAGCTGTCATTTTTAAAGCTGTTTTCCATGTCATTGCTAAAGATAATAACATGCTGATTGGGTGTTATCTCAACCAGAAATAAAAAGTCTGATATTGTCTTGTCAACAATGAAAGCTTTTTAGTTTTTTTTCCAGGAGAAAGTGCAGTTTAACCATGGGAGTTAACGGATGAAGGAAGCATATCCAAAGTGGTTATCATGTGCAAGGCTCCATTTTCTGTGCACTCAAATCCACAAGGAAAACATCACAACATCCACCCGTTTTGACATTTTTGATCTATTCTGACACAGTTTTACAGGATACAGGGTGGGCACAGAATATATGACGGAATCTAGAGTGATACCATCTTTATGATCTCCTCCTGTCAAAAACCTTTATATTTCAGGGGATAATATCCTTTTGTACAAAAAATTGTACAGGGGTGTGCTTTGATTCCTTCCTTTACAATAGAATGATTTTTGGTTTTATTACACTTTCCTAAGAGGAGCCCATGCTGTGAGATTTAGTTGGAAACCCATGCTGTGGGCAGAAGCATTAATCTCTAGATGATTCTCCTGCTTATCAGTTGAAGCTGAAACAGAGGAGATGGAGAAAAAAGGCATTTGGTTAAAAAAGCCATGAGCTGAAGTTGTGACTTTATTTACTTAGGCCTTCAGACCACACAATCTCTGAGGATGCCTGCCATAGATGCAGGCAAAACATCAGGAGAAAATGCTTCTAGAACATGGCCATACAGCCCGAGAAACCTACAACAACTCAGTGATTCTGGCCATGGACGCCTTCAACAATGCATTGCTCCCATAGGTTTGCAAAGAGATGTGATTTGTGGTTTAGGGGCCAAAAAGTGTGGTGAGAATGTGGAAATATCAGGGGAATCTCTGGTGTTGCTCTGGGCCCATGGACATGTGCTCTGCATAACCCAATCTACTTAGAAATTTGCATGTTTTTCTTAATCACAGCTAGCTTCCCTCTATGCAGTTTTCTTAACACCATGGGAAGTTGTGACTTTAAACTGTGAGGCTGTTTACACAGGGTCAGCACTCTGAACAAATGCCAATCTGTGGAAATAGATGTGTAAAGAGAGGAAGGACAACCATATACAGATAAAATGTTTGGACTATTTGAATGTTGGGTTGGAGCCACCATTGCAAGATACATATACCATATGGGGTCAAAAGGTCCTACAGCTGAGTATGGTGAGATGACTGCTTTAGGCAGCAGATTTTGATTGTCATGAAATGGCAGCAGCTGATGAGTGGGCAGTTTCTTTAGTACAGTGAGTCCTCAGTATCCACTGGGGTTTGTTTCCCGTTATATACAATGGCATAGTAAAAAGGCATCTCTTATATAAAATTGTGAACAATGGAGCCTGAGAATCTGTGAAATGGTAGGTAGGTGGCTACAGTGGGATATGTTTATTTACACACTACCATTGTGCTATGCCAAACAAAGATTTGCTTTGTGTGTGTGTGTGTGTGTTTGTGGGGGAGGGGGTCAATCTGTGGTTGGTTGGTTGGATCTGTGGAACCCAAACACAGGGCTGGCTGTACTGATCTTTTAATGGGATGTGGAGTACCAATTGTGGGATTTTCTTCCTCATATATCCAAATCATATGGCAGGCTTGAGCTATTTTGCAGTAAAGCTTCAGGTGGTTAATGGGTGCCATTTCCTTTTTGGGCTAAGGTAGCAAAATGTCATGCCAAAGTTGACAGAAATCAATGGCCACTAGTATACCAACTTTATATTGCAGTGATTCCCAACCTGTGGTCTGTGGACTACAAGTGGTCTGCAAGAACTAAAATATGGTCTGCGGCCTCACTTACTACACCATTGCAACAAGAGCAACTGGTCTCATGAAACCCTCTTATAATGTTGAGGTCTATTAAGTATGGTTTTCTGTGGGTGAGCAATCGTAGCCCAAAAGATCAGAGCCAAAGTAGCAAAATCCATACTGGGGGTCAGAAATGGAAACGGTTTGGAATGACACAAAGCAGACACTGTTATTGTCATGTTTCTGCTTTCATAATTTTAAAGAACTTGTTTTAGTTTTAATTCTTGTTACATTTTAAGGTTTATATTGGAAAGTGTTTATAAAGTTAGTGTATTACTAACTTTGGCCTATGGCTAGTACAATAAACAATTCATTCATTCTGTGGGTGAGCAGGTAGTGACTCCTGGATGCCATATATTCTGTATCAGAAACTAGAGCTGATGTGGTCTATCCAATGCAGTTTTCTGAATCAACGCCCCAAATAACCAAGCTGAATCTAAAATTGACCAAAAACTGTTTTGTAACCCTTTTGGTACTAGTGTTGGAGAGTGGTCCCTGGTCAAAGTGGTCCCTGGGCAAAAAAAGGTTGGGAACCACTGCTATATTGAGAGAGAGGCAGGATAAAAATAAACGTAAATAAATAAATTTCAAAGTATAACAGAGCCATGAAGCTTTTCCCATTTTGATACTCAAACTGAACCATCTCCTAAAATGTCCAACACTCTGGATAGCTCTGGTTGTCTTCAAAGATAGTCTTGGATCCCTTCCAGACAGCCCTATATCCCAGGATCTGATCCCATATTTTCTGTTTTAACATGAATTATAAGAGTCCCTGTGTGATCCATGCAAAAGCTGAGGAACAGATTGTCTGAGTGACTAAGTGTAGTGGTATGAGTTCCTACGGCCTGATAATTTGGGATAAACAGATCCAGGGATATAGGGCCTGCCTGGAAGGGCCCTTGGTGGTGGGTTCATCAGTGACTATGATGACTTATTCTGGATCAACTTGGTCTTTAACTTTGAGGATGTAGATTTCCAGGTGGAAGGTGGTCAGGACAAGGGTTTGGGTGACATGACTTCCTCTTGGCACGTTTCTTCCTTTCACCCTCTATTTGTGCCTCTTCAAAATTCACAGCACTGTTGGCAACACCTGACCTCCAGTTACAACTGCCGGGATGCCATATATTCCACTCTCCCAAGGAGATGATACTTTTGATCATGTAGTCTCTAGTACACTCTTGATCATGTAGTCTTATCTCTTGATCACATAGTCTTTTAATTCTGGACCTTTTTGAACCGCAGTCGAAGTGGATCACCGTTGACAGGGGACACCGACCATGGACCTTTCCATTTAGGACCCAATGGCTCCACCCGGTAGTCCTTCAACAACACCAAGTCACCCTTCAGTAAATTTTGATCAGGTGCAGTTCTTGATGCCAGGACTTCCCAGTTCTAGGTGTTTATTTATACCACATTTTAAGGAGAACTGATCAAGAACTGATCAAGTCCAGTTTTTGCTGCCAGGACTTCCCAGTTCTAGGTGTTTATTTATACCACATTTTGAGGAAGTTAGCTATCGGCCATTTTAAACCTCTTTTGCTGTCCACTGTCCCCCTCAACTTAAGCGGCTGACGGGGGAAAGGAAGGAATGCTGGGAGTTGGGAGTCCCAAACACCTGGAAGGCCCAAAACACCTGGAAGGCCATGCCTGATCTACACTGTGGAATTAATGCAGTTTGGTACCACCTTTCAATATTATGGCCCAGTACTGTGGGATCCTGGGGGCTGAACTTTGGCGAGGCCCACTTCATCACACTAGAGAAAAAAATCCACTTGAAATCCGGTTTCTGCCTCCTGCAGAATGCTGGGGTTTGTAGTTTCGTGAGGCTGTTCAAGGCTCCTCCCTAAACTACAAACCCCAGAATTCTGCAAGAGGCAGCAACCGGATTTGAAGTGGATTCATTCTCTAGTGTTCCTCGGGAGAGAAAGTGCGGGAACTGGAGGAAAAAGTCGCGCAATAGCAATGTGGACGCTGCAAGTGCAGACCCAGAAACACGCCCTGCTTTGGCTTTCCATGGAGCGTTTGGCAAGGCGGGGCGGAGGTGGAGCTAAAGAGGAGGGGGCGGAGCTAAAGAGGAGGAGGAGCGAGCGAGCCAGGGTGCGCTCATGGGAGTTGTAGTCGCGGGGCGAGGCTTTCCCTCGCAGGGTTCCCTCAGGAGAGGGACAGCGGGAACTTCAAGTCCCAGAGGCCAGCGCGCGGGCGGGGAGAAAAGGGCGGGGCGTGGAGAAAATGGGCGGGGTTAAGGAAGCGGACAGCTCCGGTGCTGATCGGAAAGGAGTGCGAGGCGAGCGTCGGGCGGCGCTGGTGGTGGACGAGTCCTGCCGACTGCTGCCGCTTCCCAGGCGGACGAAGAGAGGGAGGTTGGCGGCTGCAATCCCCGGGGCCAAGAAGGAAGGAGCGGAGTCACACCATGAGGCACGAAGCCCCAGTACAGGTGGGTCCAGGGTCCAGGCTCAGGTTGGAAAGGCGGAGCCGGAGGGACAGCGTGGAGAGAGAGAGAAAAGGGACGGGATCCCACGAGAAAGCTCCCACCTGGTGTAATTGTGGCTTGGAAAGGCAACAGCAGGAGGAGGAGGAGGAGGAAGAAGAACAACAGCGCTCAGGAGAAGAGCTAGTTCTCATATTGTTGTTATTTGTTTGCAGTGGACTTTCATTACCATGGCCCAATGCTGTGGCATCATAGGCATTGTATTGTCGAAGGCTTTCATGGCCAGAATCACTGGGTTGTTGTGAGTTTTCCGGGCTGTATGGCCATGTTCAAGAAGCATTCTCTCTTGACGTTTCGCCTGCATCTATGGCAGGCATCCTCAGAGATTGGGAGGTCTGACTCAGAATCCCTGGGGATGCCTACCATAGATGCAGGTGAAACATTGACCCCTTCCTTTCCCCCCCTTTTTTTCCCCAGAAGCATTCTCTCCTGACGTTTCGCCTGYATCTATGGCAGGCATCCTCAGAGGTTGGGAGGTCTGACTCAGAATCCCTGGGGATGCCTACCATAGATGCAGGTGAAACATTGACCCCTTCCTTTTCCCCCTTTTCTTTTTCCCCAGAAGCATTCTCTCCTGACGTTTCACCTGCATCTATGGCAGGCATCCTCAGAGGTTGGGAGGTCTGACTCAATATCTGGGGATGCCTGCCTTAGATGCAAATGAAGCGTGTCACGATACCAGGGCTCTGCTTTATTCAGGAAGAGATGAACCAAACAAATACCCGGTTTGTGTCAAGCAGTTTAATTAAAGCAGCACTTACTGTCTGGCTGTTTTAATAGTCCAAAACATAAAACATAAAGATAGCACTCCCCCACAGCAAACTGATAGCAAACACGGTTGCAGGTTTAAGATAACACCGTAGTCAAAAGGTCCAGTCCAGTGGTTAAACGCCGAGAGTTCAATGAGCAAAGTCCAGGGATCAAGAGTTTATACCGTAGTCAAAAACCAGTCCAAAGATTCACGGTTCCAGGATTCCAAAGGTTTAGGAGGCAGGTCAGGACACCAAAAATCCACAAACCACCATCAACTGCAGAACATGATACATGACAAAACGTCAACTTCCTCCTTTCCCCCCTTTTCCTAGAAGCATTCTCTCCTGACGTTTCGCCTGCACCTGTGGCAGGCAGAGGTTGGGAGATCTGACTCACAATTCCTGGGGATGCCTGCCATAGATGCAGGTGAAATGTCAACCCCCTTCCTTTTCCCCCTTTTCTTTTCCCCCAGAAGCATTCTCTCCTGACGTTTTGCCTGCACCTGTGGCAGGCATCCTCAGAGGTTGTGAGGTCAGACTCACAACCTTTGAGGATGCCTGCCATAGATGCAGGTGAAACTTCAGGGGAGAATGCTTCTGGAACATGGCCATAGAGCCTGAAAAACTTACAACCATCCAATCATAGGCATTATAGTTTGACAAGGTCCTTATCCTTCTGGACCAACTAATATGTTGCTTCACCAAATCTCAACGCCATAATGTTGAGCCCTGACAATTAAAAATGATGTCAAACTGCAGCATCAGCATATTGACTCTCTGAGGATGCTTGCCATAGATGCAGGCAAAATGTCAGGAGAGGATGCTTCTAGAACATGTCCATACAGCCCAAAAAACCCACAACAACCCATCAGCATATTATTATTGTTGTTATTATTCCCCCTGGTAGTGCAGCAGGTTAAACAACTGAAGTTGCTGACTGAAAGGTTGGCAGTTCGAATCCAGGGTGAGCTCCTGCTGTTAGTCCCAGCTTCTGCCAACCTAGCAGTTCAAAAACATGCAAATGTAAGTAAATCAATAGGTATGGCTCTGGCAGGAAGGTAATGGCACTCCATGCCATTGGCACTCCATGCTGGCCACATGACCTTGGAGGTGTCTATGGACAATGCTGGCTCTTTGACTTAGAAATGGAGATGAGCAACCCCCCCCCCCTCCCCCAGAGTTGGACACGACTAGACTTAACATCAGGAAACCTTTACCTTTACTATTATTCCCTACCTTTCTCTCTTGATCAGTTTCCTACAAGCTTCCTGTATGTGCATTTCCCCCTTTTCCTCCCTTCCCTCCGGATTGGATTCCATTCTCCTCGTTCCTTCCTCGGAGGGAAGGCAAAACCCGTTCCCTGGGGCATTACTTGGGAACGGACGCAGTTTGACACCACTTTAGCTGCCATGGCTCATAATGCAAGATCATGGGAGCTGTGATTTGGTGAAGCATCAACACTCTTTGGCAAGGAAGGCTCAAGAGCTTGTGAAACTATATCACATAGCATTGAGCCATGGCAGACAGTTAAAGTGGTGTCATACTGCTTTCATTCTATAGATGCCCCTGAGCTGTTGGCGACTTCTAGAGCTGCAGGACAAAACGGATCATGAGAAATGCCTTTTTGTTCCCTCACAGCCGCATTCCCAGATTCCCAACAACATGGATTAAGCCATCATAGGAAGGCGGGAGAAGAGGAGGGGAAGCAGAATGGGCTTCTATCGTTGCCCTTCACATCTCAAATGTTTATTTATTTGGTTTAGTGCAGTCATGGGCCAACTTGGGTGCTCTGGGTGTTTTGGACTTCAACTCCCACCATTCCTAATGACCTCAGTCCCTCAGGCCCTTAGGAATGGTGGGAGTTGAAGTCCAAAACACCCAGAGCACCCAAGTTGGCCCATGCCTTCTCTACATGGAAGCAGTGGGCTGCATATAGCGACTGAGGGGGGAAAGGAAAGGGCATGGGGCTGTTAGGAATGGTGGGAGTTGAAGTCCAAAACACCCAGAGCACCCAAGTTGGCCCATGCCTTCTCTAAATGGAAGCTGTGGGCAGCATATAGCGACTGGAGGGGGGGGGGGGGGGGAGGAAAGGGCCTGAGGCTTTTAGGAATGGTGGGAGTTGAAGTCCAAAACATCTGGAGGGCCCAAGTTGGCCCATGCCATATCTACACTGTAGAATTAATGCAGCTTGGTACCATTTAAACTGACATGAGGCTATGTTATGGACTTCGGGAAGTTGTAATTTTTACAAGGCCTTTAGCCCCTTCTGCCAGAGAGCTGGTGCCGTGCCAAACTACAAACCTCAAAATTCCATAGCAGTTCACGTGGTGTCGAACTGCATTAATTCCACTGCAGATGCACCCCCAGTTTCCCAACAGGTCTTGCTCCCTAAGAAGGAGTGCTGATTGAATTACAGCCTTGATGCTTGGTGACCACAAATGCTGCTTTCAATCTGTGACATATAAATTCCCTGAAGGGATCTTGAGGAAACCTATGAACCCTCACTTCTTTTGCATAGGAGTTAAATAATAGTGTAAGTTTCCAAAGCAATATCTTTTTTAAAATGTGTCTTTCATTGCCAGATACATCACACTGGGGAGGGGGGGGGGGTGGACAGAATATATAATGAATCTAAAGCAGAAGGCAGAAATAGTTATTTACTTGTTAAGGAAATGTTGCTGTTCTTGAAGAAGGAACATGCATGACTCATAAAAATGGGAGAGCACACCTTCTGGAAGTGTCTGGGTGTAAACACTGTTGATCTCAACAGTAGGCTGTTCTTAGCAGCTTTTTACTTATTTTTAATTGCATTTTAACTGAGTTCTTTTAATGACTGTAACTAGTTCAATTATCTTTTAATATTTACTTTTAGTATATTTTCATTGTATTGCTTTTTCAATTGTGAGCTGCTTTGGATCTCAAACTTGGGGAAAAAGCAGAGAATGATGATGATGATGATGATGATGATGATGAATAAGCAAAGTACACCTAATGAATATTCAAGAATGCCTTTTCTCTAGCCTAAGAGTAATTCTTAGGGGTAAAATGGGTAATAATAACAGTATGCAAAAATGCTATATAAACACATACCTAGGTGTAAAATGCATGAAAACAGAGAGACTGACTTTTCAGTAGACCAGTGGTTCCCAACCTATTTTTGGCCAGTGACCATTCTCCAACAATAGTACCAAAAGGGTTACAAATCAGTTTTTGGTCAACTTTAGATTCAGTTTGGTTATTTGAGGTGCTGATTCAGAAAATTGCATTGGATAGGTCACATCAGCTCTAGTTTCTGATATAGAACATATGCCATCCAGTAGTCACCATCTTCATGCCCACAGAAAACCATATTTATTAATCTAGAACTGATGTGGTCTATCCAATGCAGTTTTTAATCAGTTACTCAATTAGCCCCAGGAACAGGCCTAAAATTAAGACACCACAGCACCCCCACTTCCAGGTGCCACATGGAACAGCTCCACTCAGGGGGAGGGCGAAGGAGGAGGAGATGCAGCAATCAGGAGGCTCGTTTTCATGTCTTTCATGGGTAGTCAGCCTCTCCCTTCCAGTCACTCTCGTTACAACGGTGTAGTAATGCTGAGGCCACAGACCATGTTTTAGTTCTTGAGGACCACTGGGGGTCCACGGACCACAAGTTGGGAACACCTGCAGTAGACATAGGCCCCTTCCACATTGCCCCTATATCCGAGTAACTGATCCCAGATTATCTTCTTATCCTAGATTTTTTGTGTGTGCCAGGAGCGACTTGAGGAACTGCAAGTTGCTTCTGGTGTGAGACAATTGGCCACCTGCAAGGACATTGCCCAGGGGATGCCTTGATGTTTTACCATTCTGTGGGAGGTTTCTCACATGTTCCCACATGAGAAGCTGGAGCTGACAGACAGGAGCTCACCCCGCTCCCCGGATTTGAACCCCTGCTCTTTTGGTCAGCAGTCCTGCAAGCACAAGGGCTTAATATTTGTTAAATATTTTTATTAAGAAAAGTTAAATATTACAATAAAACAGAATATGAGAAGTAAAAGGTAATTTGGGAAAGGTACAGGGGAAAGGAAAGGGAAGGGAATAAAGGAGGGAAGGGAAGAGGGAAAGGTAAGGAAAAGGGCGGGGGAGGGAACCCTTGAGGAGGGGAGAAGGGGGAGGGGGAAAACAAGAGTTATTGACTTCCATTCTTCC